CCCTAGACTGGTTCACTCAACTCCCTTGTCTGGGATACTGGAGCTTTAATCACATAGAGTTTGTATAAATCATATTCTGAAGAAAACAGAAATCCACTGAATATCACCCCTAGCAGAATTAAACCCGGACTCCAGATAAAGTGACCTGATGTTAGAAAAAGAGAAGACGTAGCTGCAAGAAGACATCAGGCTAAAATAAACAGCTATGGGCTGCTTTATGTGGAAGTTAGACACCAGTCCAGAGGCTTTCCATCAAAACACAGGTAGGTCACAGATGATTGTGTTGGTGGTGTTCAGAGATGCAAGCTAAAAGGGCATGAGATAAAGCAGCAGGAAAACCTGCTGTCAGATACAAGAGAAAATGAGGTGTTGGTGAGGAATGGAAGGAACCAGAGAATCAGACTTTTAGTTTTCCTGTATAAACAAAAAGTTGAATGATGGACTTATTGGTCCAGTTGTCTCCTCTACTGTAGAAGTCATAGAATTGTTAGAATCATAATGGTTGGAAAAGGCATCTAAGACCTGTTCAATATGAAGAGCAATTATAAGATAAAAAATCCATTATAACTGTCCGACTTGCTTGGGAAGTAACATCAGTACATGTGGCTTTAAATTCAGTGAGCCCAAATTGAACCTCCACCTTAAGCGTGCGCTTTGTCCCCAGCCATGTGGCTGGTGATGGCACTACACAGGAGCCAAGCAGTTCCATCCCTTCCTCATCCACATACTGAGCATTCTGCTTTTTTGTACAATAGAAATCAAACTTTAGCTCTGTTTGATCTGGTTCTAGTGGAAAGAAATCATAGCAGGCAGCTTCATGTATGTTCACTGACTCCCCAATTTCCACCAGTTTCCAGAAGACATCTGTGCAATAAATATAGTCACCAGCTTTTGAGACCCTCCGTTTACGGGCGTCATGGATAGCATCATCAAATTTCTCACATACTCTTAAGCCATATGTCCTACAGCTGATTCTTGAGGTAATGATGTGTGGATTAACTCCAAATAAAACAGCCCCTTTTGCAATGGCTGCCTGGGCCTCCATGGGACAAAGGATGTGATACTTGCTGCTAAAGGCCTGCCTGACTGCATCTCGCAGGATGATGCTGGATGCAAAGCCTCCCACAAGTAAAATGTACTGGACTTTGTCCATCTCAGGTTTGCAAAGAATTTCCCTCAAAGCAAAGATTATATTGGTGATACTGTAGTCAAACAAGCTCTTCATTTTCTCATATGTAATCATGATTGTCCCATCACACCACACAGCTCCTGCTGCTTTTTCAAAGAACTTGGAGATGTCCTTCTTGGACTCTGCCAGTCTGGTCAGGTTGTAGTAGCAACGTATGTAGATTGCCTCCCTGCTAGCAGAGCATTTCTGTAGGCTGAAGTTATACATCATATTTTGTAATTCAGTAGGGTGCTTCTTCACATATTCATCCCATACGCCATCACTGAATATTTCCTTGAGGAAATTGATGAAGTTTTCATCCACTCTGTTGCCTCCCCATCCACCTCCAGTTGCCTTATGTAGCTCCTTTACATAATGGTTTTCTTGGATCTCGTGTACTGTGATGTCTATGGTGCCACCTACATGTGCAACACACACACAGGGACAGAGACTCAAATTAATTGTGCTGTTTGCTTTAAAGTACATGATTTCCATGGAATTTAATCTTACCTTCTGAATTCCCGATTCTCAGATGTGCTTTTCTGCTGCTTTCTTTCCTCATCCTTGCTCTTCTGCTATTGCCTTACTTCTCTAGATTTCTTAAATTTCTGCACTTTTGTTTAAAGGCCTGTTCTCACAAGGCTCCTACAGTTATTTCTGATACGAGCTGGATGCTCCAGCTTGCTCACTGAACAAGCCAATCTCCTGTCTGACCACAAACCGAGCCTGGCCTCCTCTCATAGGTGGTTGACTCCTGAGCAGTGGTGAGAAGACTCTCAGGAACTTGTGGTCCTCCCAATGCCTCCTTGGTGTTTGTTCGCAACCACCAGACTGCTCTTGGCAGAAAATTCACACTGAAAACCTCAGGAATCTAGAGATATTACTGAGAAGTGCGTCACCAAATATTCTTAATGATTTACTCTCCAGTTCCTGCTAGCTCTTCTCTTTGGTCATTCCCTGGGCACTAACTCCAGTTTCTTCTGGAGAGGAGGCTCGAGCTCAGGCTACACAAGAGCACGTGCCGGTGGCTGATGCTGGGACACCGTGCCGGCTGATCTGGTGCAGGGCAGGGCCTCGTGTTGTGACAGTCTGGCCTGAAGCGCACTGCAGTGTGAGACACAGCCCTGTTCTTTCCTCCTATTCTCTGCCTGCTCACAGGATCTCATTAGGTGACAAATAACATTACACAAAAACCATGACAAGCACAGCAGTGGAGTCCAAGCTCTGGGACCTTCACCTACTGTGAAACAGCTATGCACCATGCCCAGCAAAGACGGTACCTGTTAAACAGGGAAAATTTTACCTCCACAGTCAATGACAACATACTGGATCCCAGGGGAGTCTTCAAACTTCTTCTTGTCACTGCTGTCTGCCATAAACCCTTCATGTGGAAGCTGCTTGCACCACAGTGATGCAGCTTCTGGCTCCAAGGCAATGATCAGGTTCCTAGAGATCATGTCAGAGATAATTCCCGCCTAAAATCACAAAAAGCGGAGTCAGGTCAAGGAAAGGGAGTGTGAGATTACTGCTGCATGAACACCACCTGCTAGGGAGACTGTTCTCACCCTAGCAGCTCATGCAGGGGTGGTGGTTCTTGCACTGCTGATCTCTGTGGGGCTCATTTCTCCCCAGCAGTGGGGAGAGAGGGCAGAGCTGTTGTACTGCCATTTGGGGACATCCTCTCCCTCACCACCTCAATGTGAAAGATTGCCCAGTAGACTGAAATTTGGAATACAAGTTGTTTACATATTGAGGAGTTCCTGAGGCTCAGTTGGGCAAAGAAGCCTCCAAAGATAATTTGAGGAAATGTGGTAACCCCTGCTTTTACCTCTTTTGCTGCCAGACGCATGAACTGCTTGGCAGCAGCGCTCCATATGGCCGGGACAGTAATGACCCAGGTGATCTCCTCCTGGTCGTAGACAGTGTGGAAAGAGGCCTCCTTGATGGTGTTCAAAGCATGTTCCTTCATGTAGCGCAGGCTTTCGGAAAAGACTGTCAAGGCAGGAAGGAACTTTCCATTGGTGGCTTTCAGCTTCATGCCAGCTGTGACATTCTACCAAAAAAAAGGCCCAGGGTCACACGGTGCAGTGTCAGTATGAGACCTGTCCCCTTCACACCAAGCACTGCACTACATAAGGCACCCAGACACCCCTGTCTCCAAAACAAACTCCCAGCATTGGCTTCACTACTGTGGTAGAGTCTAAGTGGCACAGGTCAGCTGCCAAACTGCTTACCCACCACACCTGTGATTCAGAAGGCAAAATGTCAATGTGGTTGATAATTCAGCTGTTTCTCCTAGGCCAAATTTTGTAAAGACCCTGTAGATCCTATAGATTCCTGAAGAGCCAGTGGGGAGTGATTCTGTAATGAAATTTTTCTTCACCATTTGCTCCTCACATGCAGAGAAATAGTTCTAAACTAAAACCTCTCTCCAGCCCCTGCTGAAAGTGAACCAACCGCCCCAGAGCTGACATTGTGACAGACCACATCATCCCCAGCTGTTCTGAGGAGGAAAATCTTCAAAGAGGCCCCCCATCCACCAAAGAGAGGACCTGAGGCTTTTCTTGGACTTTTCCTTGTGCTCTCAAGCATAGCTTATTCTATGCTTGAGAGGCCCTATGGGACGCTGGAGCACAGACAGGAAGGCCCTAAGGTAGCCTGGTGTGTGGCTGAACAAGCAAACACAGATAAAGTTGTAAACTATTCCAAACCAGCACAGAGCCTTCAGACAGAAATTTGATAAAGCCACTGCAGGCTTCAAGGACAGCTGGACACCCTTACATTAGCTTCAGCATAACGTTTCAAGGGAGGGAGAGACAAGCTAGGGGGAGCTTTATAACATGGAATGAGAATTTAGGTAATCCCAAGACTGCCCATCTCCTCTGAATTACAGGAAATTTCACTTGATCCCTGTTTCTTGTTGAGGACTAAGGTAGAGAGTCCCAGAGGGAGACTAGTTTCTCTGTCAATCTCAGGACCAGGGCAGCTTTTTATTAGGAACAGGTATTTGCCTTCACCCATGTATGCAGTCACAGTTTATTGTCTTTAGACAAAAAACATCATAAAGGAAGGGCCTGGGAAGCTTTTGGTAATTAAAAAAAATATTCTTCTGTTCATCAACTACTCTCTGACTTGCGTTCATTCAGTCTCATCAACAAGACTTAGCTCAATGGATTCTCTAACCCTCACCCCTCAAATAAATGAATAGCCCTACCTCCATTAGTAGTGACTCTTCCACCTACCGTGTTGTACAGCTGCATCTTGAAGTTGTGGAAGAAGTACCAGCTGTCAGCTTGGCTGGAGGGCAGGCTCTTGTACTTCATCACAGCATCATAACCAAAATATTTGAACTCCTGCTTCTGGTTGAACAAGATGCTCGTAGGCATCTTTGGGGTCTTTACACCATGCTCTGCTCCCCAGTAAACCTGGCGGATTTGGTCTGTACCTGAAGCAAGAGAAAAACAGTACCCACTGTAGGATGTGCCAAAATCTATAGCAACGACGAAGACTGGCTGGCTGGCCATGGCCACTGCAGGGCAGGCACGCAGCTCTGGGAGCAGAGAGGCGTAAACAGGGCTGGACTGAAACTAAAAGGACTGATATTGCAGAAGGAAGGGCAGTCTCCCCTGATTTTATTGGCTGGAGAAAGATGTGACTCTAGACATCCTGTAAATTCTGTTTTCCTGTAAAGACGCAGGGCTTTCTTCTGGTTTTTGTAGCAGCAAAGTGCCTTTGTTAGGGAACTGTCTTATCAGTAGCTTTCTGCACTCCCAGCAGCATCAACAGTCCTCAGTGCTGCCCACACATCTCCACAAATTTTTTTTGCTGCTGCATGAACAGACAAAAGGTTTCTGGCTCCAGCAAAAGAAAAATGTGGGTTGTGGCCAATGTTTTTGGTCAGAGAAAAGCAGAAGTGTCTGATATTTCTGACTCCAGCAAAGGAGATGTGTTGGGTACACCCAGTAGTTCTGGCTCCAGCAGAGAAGCGTGGTCTACATCCAACCTTTCTGGCTCCAGAGGAACAGAATCACGGCATACATACAATGTTTCTGGCAACAGAGAAAGAGAGGTATTGGAAAGACAGTGTGAGGATACTGATCCCAGAAAGACAACTGCAGAATGCAGCAGGTAGGTTACACAAGGGGATATCTCTGGATAATCTCATTTAATCTTCCTAGGTCTGAATACTTCTACAGAGTTTCTTGGAGGGTTGCATGAGTGCTGAATTGCAAACATTTTCTGACTGTGAAATATTCAGTAAGAGCTCTGCTTTCTACTTCCTAACCTTTCTAGCCAACACAGAGATTGTAACTGTTTTCTACTTCCTAACTTTTCTAGCCAACACAGAGATGGTAACTGTCCCCAAATTCTGCTCAAGTTCAAATCCAAAGTGGGAGGCAGATCTAAAATTGGTGCAAGAGGAAGAGAAACTAGAAGTATCAGTATAAAGATTGTGACAAGATTTCAGATTTCATGGCTCTGACTTGGAGCTCATCAATTTTGCAGGGAAACATGGACTAAAATGTAAATTTTTTACTGGATTGTTTAGCTTAAAGAAAAAGATTGTGTCTTTAGTGAAAGACTGAAAATTAAGTGATTTAACTGGAAAGTAATCAATCCAAGTAAATAAAACCAAAATGTGCTTCAGTGGGAAGGAGTAATGCTGAGAGGGGCAGCAGGGTCCCTTGCAGCAGCTGTGCAGCCTCCTGTTGGCATAAACCAAAGGTAAAACCTCATGCTGAGGCTCGCTCTGGCATCTGGTTGTGGGGATGAGACTGCTCTCTATTCCACCGGGATCCAGGCTGCAGGAGCACTTTAATCTGGGACTGTTTCTCTAATAATAGTTGATATTTGGGATCCTTGTGAGGAAACAGGACACAGCAGCTGTACAAATAAAAAATCACCTCGAGAACACAGAGCTTCGTACTCCTCTGTTAAAAATAAACGTACATTGCAAAGCTGGTTTTAGCAGAACAGTCACCTGCATTTGCTGTTCCCCTGCTCTCTGCAAGTCTGGGCTGAGTTTGTTTTCCAGGAGCTGTCCTTGTATCTTGCCCACTTTATCCAGACCTAATGATTAGTCAAAGCCTCCTGGTTTTGGCAGACCCTGGTGTGGGAAATAGTAAAAGTAAGAAGATTTCTAGAAAGCTTTAAAAGCAGGCCTTAGAAACAGGAAGAACAGAAAACTTAGAGCTAGCTGCAGCAGAAAAGTCTGAAAGCAGAAAAAGTTACAACAGTACAGCAAGCAAGGACATGAAACAACAGCTTGAGTTTTAGGGTGGCTAAGATAGATAGCCTGTGGAGTCCTCTGAGCTGTATCAGGCATAATCTGTGAGAGTGCTTCCTCACTTGTGCCAAATCTGCACCCATGTGCCCTTTGTCCCATCTCTGATCCTTTTCCTGGCATGGATATAGCCATGAAGCCTCTGCTCACAGGATTGGCAATTATAAAGTACTTTTTTCAAGGATGTGTTCTTACCCCACTTCATTACAAGAATTGCCTTTTCTTTTTTTCCTCAGATATATATCTGACATCTCACCACAGCCATCAGCCTGTGGAGACCAGACTTCTAACATGAAGGAAATGTTTGAAATTATGAAAGAGATGGACAACAAAAAAACAAAGGAAATGTTCGAAATTATAAAAGAGATGGACAATAAAAAAATGAAGGAAGTGCTCGAAATGATAAAAGAGATGGACAACGAAAAAACAAAGGAAATGTTTGAAATGATAAAGGAGATGGACAATAAAAAAACAAAGGAAATGTTCGAAATGTTAAAAGAGATGGACAAGAAAAAAACAAAGGAAATGTTTGAAATTATGAACGAGATGGACAACAAGAACACAAAGGAAATACTTGAAATGATGAAAAAGATGGACAACAAAATAATGTGAGAGCCCAGTAACCAAAAATGACACTGTTTAGTGTGGCCTCTGACAATAAACAGTAGCTGGTGCTCACTAGGGCAGGTGGGACAGAAAATGAGACAGACACAGGGAGGGCTCTGCATTAGCAACAGATTTTGCCCAGGCTACACTGGGAACCCAGAGCCAATTCACAGAAGCTGTTGGATTTGCACAATGTAACGTGCAGATCTTGCACTGTGGGTATTTTATTTGCACTGTTGGTATTGACTCAGAGAATCACAAACCACTCACCTGGCAAAGAACAGCCTTGACAAGTTTTGGTCTCTAAATTTCTTTTTGCTATGGGTTGATCAGAAATTGGAGGGAGGAAGTTTAGCTTGTGCATTTTTTAAGACTTTATTGCATACTTGCCCACTGATTGCAATGTGGTTTATTGTTTCTTTCTTTCCCTTATGGATGGATGGACAATGAGAACAGAACTTTGTCTGACACTGTTCACACTCTACTTCACCTTCTGGATAGTCACAACAGGTAATGTGATTATTTGCATTAATAATCAGTGTAAGAGGGGAAAATCACTATGATCCTCACAACCACACCTCTATTTCTTCTGATGTAAATAGCTTCCCACTTGATTTGAGCATATATTCTGGGTGGGAGCTTTCAGGGGAGGTGTTCAGCTCCCTGGAGTTTTCCTGGATGCTCTTGCGCTTTCCCACCTCACAGCTTTTTGTCCTTGAATTCAGATTATTCAACAGGGGCATTTCCATTGTTGTGCCAGTGTCCAAGTACAAATAAAGAGATCTCCCAAATCTGTTTCAGAGCACTTCCTGAAAGGATAATCCAAATACTGCATAAGGAGAAAGAGGAAAATGAGATGCTGAAAGAGAAGACCAAAAAGCTAGAGGAAAGGTAAGGCATTTACTCACATTTCAGACATAGTGTGTGTTTCTACACTGAAAAGCCACACACTTCTTGCTTTCTCCAGTCCCTGGGGACTCTATTTCTGACCAGACATCCCAGACACCTTCTCTCCAGGCTTTCAACCTGCCAGCACCTCTTTGTAACTGACTTCTGGAAGATGGCGTGGGTTGTTCTGCAAAGGGAAGAAGACATTCTCAGGGTAACCAGTTAAATAAAGAGTAAAAGAAACCGGTCTGCAATGACATCATCAAGATGCCACTCTGATCAGATTCTACTATGATCATGCAAAACTGAGCTGACAAAGCACTGTTTTCCACAAAAAAACTGCTTGCCAGCTATAGAATATAAATGAGAAGTGCATTGTAGAAAACATGGTATTCATTAAACAGTTTCATAAGTAAAATATTCACATTCGCTCATTATTTCACCTTGACTTAGATATGTTTTTTAATAACCTCCTTGACCTAGAATCCAAGAGCTGTTGGCTAAAGCGATGGCCATGCACCAGCACTCTGAGGACATCAATGACCCTTCACGTTTGTCTGCTGTGCTGGAGAGATACGAGATGCTGCGGCTGCAAGAATGGGAGAAAGTCAGGAGCTCCATGCCCCACCACTGGACCTATGAAGAAGGCAGTCGCACCATTAGGGTTTGTTCAAGTCCATTTTCTCCATCTGATTCTTATCACATCAATTATGGCGTAGCCATATAGCAGCCTTTGAGTATTTGTATTTCTGTACCAGAGGGTTGGGGCCTAAGTTTGTGTCTCTGTTTTTTCCAGCCCAGCAGGGCCTGTGGAATGCTGTAGAGATCAAACTGACAGTGACCTTCTTCCTCCTGCCTTGCACAAGGGCACACTCAAATACTAGTCCCACCTCTCACACGTGTTAAGCACAAGTGGGAAAACTTTCCCACTTTCCTTATGTTAGTGCTTGAACTGATAGCTGGGAGACCTCATTTTGATGTCTGACTCACTGCTGTGATGCTGGAGAGATCTAAAGGAAAATACCAAAGTGGTATTACCTTAAAGGACAAGACTGAGATGAGGCCATTATTAGCATTGACTGTGATGACAAGGCCCCACAGATGCTGAAGAATGGGCTCAATATGCAAGCAGCTTGATGAAATAGTTTGTTTCACAGTTATTGAAGACATATTTCAATCAATTAGCAGACCTGTAATTCACTCTAATGCAGATGTTTTCTCAGCTTTGCACACTACACCTGTGGTTTCACTGTGATTGATGCTGTAATCAGTTGTTGTTTTTGCTCTGCAGAAGGTGTTTGATGCCTGCGAAAAAGATATACAACAGAGAATGGAGAACATACTTACAGTTCTTTACATTCCACCTTCGAATAAGGTAAAAATACCTTTGACCAAGGTATTTTATGTTTCTGTAAAAGGCCTGTAAAAGGGCCATTGGCACCTACCATTTCATTTAGAAGTTTGTTTCTGCTTAGGACACTGCTCAAAATCTGTCAGCAGTGACACTGGGGATAACTTCTGAGCTGAGAGGTCTGGGGCTAAGCTCTAGCAACCCTAGGTATGAGAGAAGCACTGGATAAAAAACAGGCCTTTCTCTCTAAGAGTTAAGCTGTTCCATGGAGAAGCAGGGAGCTGGACTTGAGGGTCCCTGTGGGAGTCTTCCAAAATTAAATTATTCTGTGTCCCATGATACACAGCCATACAGTCCATATCTGAATTGTCCAGCTGGATGAAGCACATATATGAGTGCAGAAAGCATTTTCCAGCCCTGTGTTGCTTTTATGGGACCTTCCTCCAAAGCCTGAAATGAGTGACTTCCCCATTACTGATTGACCCAATATGAGAAACAAAAATTCCCAATGTTTGCCTTATCACATGGTAACAGGCTGCTTTGTGCTATGATTCTTCTGTAGGTGGTGATGCAAGACATAATGAAGCTGTTCAGGCAACACTATCACCAAAACTCAATGGTTTACGACCAGATTGTTCAAGTGAGTAAAGATACAGCCCAGGAACGAGGGCAATGGTTCAACTGTCTGTGCAGCTTGTTATTTAAAACATGAGAGGTCTCCCTTGTGCAGGAGGTTGTTTTCCACTTGTGGCCAGGTCCTTCCAGCCCATATACTCCCAAAATATTCCTAAGTACATATAATCTTGGAAGTACAGCAGGACAGGCAGGGTCATGCCCCTACCAACAAGGCACAGCCCTACTGGACCCAAGCAAGGAGCAAAGAGCAAAGGGCCAGTGGTGGTGATCAGGGACAGCCTCAAACCAGCGACCACTGGGCAAGCTCACAGTGACCAGCCAGGTCAAGACCAAGCTGTGAAGTTGGTCTGTGGGTCAGGACCAGCAAGACTGGGCACAGGCACCCCAACACCACAGCTCAGTCAAGCACCCAGCCACCACTCAGCTCCTGGGTCAATTGGTGGTCAGTCTGGGGGTGAAGATGAGGCTTCTCATAACTCCTTCTCACACCACCCTTTCTGCCAGCTTGGCTGTTATTGCAGGAGTTGAATACAAGGTCATATGGTCGTGCTAAATCTGAGCTGACCTTGAACACAAGCAGCCAGACCCCTGGGAAGGCAGAGGAAAACGTGCAGAGGCTGTTGATGTGCACAGAGCCCTGACACCTGCTATCCAAATGGACAAGTCTCTAGTGGGCATTTTTTGTGGAAGATATGATGTATATATCACAGATATATGAAACTTCCAAAGAGGAGCTTCCTCCTTTTGCAGCTTACTGGGCTTTTCCAAGAGCCTTGTCTTACCAAACCCCTTGCAGATCTCTCTGTGAGGAAATAGAGAGAGGTGTTGTGTGGAGATTCTCAGTTCACTCGAAAAGAATTCTCCCAGGCCTCAGGCCTGGGAAAGTTAGAGGGGAAGAATGAAAACAATTATTATCTCTCTTTCTGTCCATGTTTTTTATAGATTTGTACCTTCAGAGAGCTCTATTCATAGTGCACCAATAGAGTTAGAGGTTTTCACCTTAAGACCAATCACGTCTTAGGTCCACTACTGTTCCTATAAGAACTGTAGATTTCTTAATACTACATGGGATAATAAAGTGTCTTTCAAGCCTTCTGCAGCATGGAGTCAGATGCCAATCACTCTCCAGCTGGGGCAATGCCTGCTACCACAGTGCTGGACACTGGCACAATCCAGGAGTCAGGACTTAGTAAATAAAAGAACTTTTAAAGTGACCCTGGGACCCCTGCATGTCCCACTCAAACAGTACCAGCAGCTTTGACAAGTGAAGTTCTTGAGTGCAACATAACAGTACATCAGCATAATATTACAAAGCTTTGAAAACTATTTTCATTTGATTTTCAGGAAGCTGACATTCACATAAGAACTGAAAGTGAAACACAGTTCCTGCTGCAGTGCTGCCAAATTTATTGCCTGCTGCTTCTTCAGGACCCCCCAGTTAAAGCTGAGTGGAAGATGAACAGAAGGCATGGAGCCTTCTGTCTAGAGCACGTGGACAAGAAAGATGCAATGCACTGGAAAAAAGTATCACTTCTGTGGCCCATAATGAAATGTGGGGAAGAAATTATTGTGAAAGGTGTAGTCTGGGATCAAAGGACAATGCCTTGAGAGTTGGGCTAATTACTTAGCCATAAGATGAAACAGCTGCTATGTAATACTCTGCTTTTCTTTCTCCCATGAATTGCCTACTTTTCAGAGCTAGTAAGTTAGACATCTCCCACTTGGGACACCTAGGATAAATCATCATTAACAAACCTGTATTAAAAATTGAAGCTATTCCAATTGTGTCCTCACAAAGGCCACCTGCCTGTTAGCACTCCTCTGCTTTCCCACATCTGTACAATTTACCTCTCCCAATGTCCTTCAGCTACACGTGTGCCATGGCTCTGGACCAAAAACCTCTAAAAGTTGTACTCCTTGCATACTGGGGATGCAAGGAGGCAAATGCATGTTTATGTGATTTGGTGTGACACAGTATTTTTGTAAGCAACTTGAGAATTACTGAATAAAAAATACTTCAAATTCTGCTGTGTGCCTGCTGTTAGAATGCATGGAATAGAAGCCTCTCTGAGTCCCTCAGAGAGAGAAAGGAATACAGGGATTGAATTGGAACCTTTAGAGAAACTAAAATATATTAAACCACACAGACCTCAAGTAGGAGTGTTTCAGTTTCAGTTTTAAGTAAGTAGAAATATATCTTAAGTGCCTTAAGAAACTCTATTAGCCAGTAAAAAACCCTAAAGCCTAGTTTAAAGTTCAGCAGTGTTACCTTTCACAAAATTAACTTAGCTCCAGACATAACAAAAACACAGCAGAACATTGCTTACATTTCTAAATAGAACAGATAGAACTATTTGTGTGAACAGATAGAACTATATATGTGTAGATTTTGTGTAAAAATTAACACTACTTTCACACATAAGAATTAAGCTTGGATAAGTGGAGAAAGAATGTTTTAGAATCGTGTTTTTAGCTGATTATTTATGAATAAATTTCCACTATATTGGGGTACAAAAAAATGTGCTAATTGCTTCTACTAACTACTACTACTTCTACTGCTTCTACTCAGAACATCAAGACTATACCAGCAAGCTTTTAGCACACACTTTAATACTGTAAACTCTTCACCTTCAGTACTGATGTATTCATACAATAAACAACCAACAACTACTCCTATCTCTTTGAAGACCCAAGACCCACTCATAACACCTGCCAAGTCCTTTTCTTCAGTTTTTCTTTCCAATCCATCCATTTCCTTGGCTGCACAAACTCCCTGGGATTTTCTCAATGGGCCCCCAGAAAGAAAGGCAAATTTCTGCACAGCTCTCTGCAAGCAAATTGCTCTGCTTCTCTCAGGAATTTAGTATTCCCTAAGCATATTGCAGGTCACTGACAATATGAGCTGGGATCCAGGTGTGTGCAAGAAAATTGGCTTTTAGAAAACCGGAGTATTCTGAGAAACTGCCTGTAAAAAGACCTTTATTGAAAATATCTATTATGGAATAGAACAGGTGAAGTAAAATTACATATGTACCATATTTCCTACAATTTCCACAAAAAGAAAGAACTACCATAGTTGGTTTTTCATGCCTTTTAAAATGTTGCAGACTCAGATGAGCAGTGCAATAATATTTCATTTTTCCAGGCCGCAGAAGGTAAATGAGAGGGAAGTTGTCCAGGGCAGGCAAGGACTCTGAGCCAAAACGCCACATGACTATACAGGTATAATACTACACATATGGCAAGCTGCCATGCTCTCTTTGTTACCTGCTTAGAAAATTTTTAGCCTATTTTTTTTGGTAGCTCCCCGAGTCTGTCTGGATCCTATGCTGTGCATCAGTTTTGTCTCTGAAGCTCATCACTTCTGCGTCTCCTCAGGTGTGTCCTCTCCTTTGATTTTTCTCTCCTTAACATCATTTTTGCTAGGCTAAAATACCCATCTTACAAGGCCTTATATTCCAAAGACTGATTTAAAAGTCTTCACAAGGCTAAAAGGCCTAGGGTTGAGTAGTCCTGAAAGAGAGAACAAACTGCTAAAATCAGAGGATTTTTAATCTTTCACTACAAACCAGGTACTTCCTCCACTAGCAACAAAAAGATCCACTGATTGCTACTGTGCAGTGTCTCTGTGCAAGAAATTCCCCTACTGCCAGACTCTCACATTTCCTGCTGCAAAGGACAACATCCAGCCCATGATCCTACACAATTTCTCTTTCCAGTCCTTGATGTTTGAGGGTGAGGCAATATTTTAAATCAGGTGCTGTACCACATACCATTCCAAGGCTAATATGATGTCCTGATGTCCTTTACATAACTTCCTAGGTAATATTTTAACAGGGAATTGGTGTGAGATGGTATCCTCTGGTCTGACTTCCACGTTGGGGGGATCCCAGCAGATGGAGGAGGCACACTTAGGGAATCTGCCTCTGGAAAACAAGGGCAGGCCTGAAAGTTTTCCAGCACACTGGGACAAGGAGCCCTTTGTAGAGACCCCTACACTCAGGGAGATCTCTTTGCTGCTGCTTACACATTTACCTCTCTCCCAGCCACAAGGAGGGAAGCAGGGGCCCAGGCCCTTCCTGGAAAAAATATTTGACTTCTCATCCACAGCTCAGAGAAGAAACCACGAAGAACCTGTGAAAACTGAGCTACAGCTTGTGTCTAACAGGAAGAGCAAAACAGTCAGAAAGAGGAAGAGAGAGGAAGATCCTGACGTTTAAAACCCTTCCTTTCCCAAAACAGCATGATTCATGCCTCCTAATCAGCCTCCCACAGAGACTTAACATGGGAAGGTGGAAGCCCGCAGAGGGAAGGGAGCTTCACTGTAGGAATGTCTAAGAAGGCCTGGAATTCTTCACCTGGACAAAAGAGGACTCCAGGGATCACAGGTGGAAGAGAGGGTGGGTGGCAGCTACACATGCACTCTTCAGCTTCAGTAGCAAGAACTGGGCTGATGGAAGCAAAACAGGATGATGCAGAAGAAGCAGAGAGTGGAGGTGCTGCCTGAAGGAATTGTGGCTGCACAAACAGAACTAAGGTTGGTGGGGTGTCTGGAAGCCACCTCCATAGGGCTCCTTGCAGGCTGGAAACAGGATACTGGCTAGGTGGCCTTCTAGTCTGGAACCACTTGGGCTGCTATTAAATGAATTTGCTCAAACAAACATTGCCTGTTGGTTTTGCAACAGCAGAACAACTATCACACATTACCCACCCCATCGCCTCAGTTTGATCAAGTACCTCAGCAGCTGCAGAAAGGCAGCACAAAAAGGGCTGTGGTTTGTGTACCTTCATTTGTAGCACCGCAGCCGTGTGCCACCCTGGAGCTGGATCAAGCACCAGTGCACAACCAAGCAGGGACCTGGCATCATCGCTGGAATCACTTTAGGCCCACAAAGGCTTCCTGAGAGGAAATCAGTGCTGTGGGTGCCTGAGCCTGTGCGGCTGCGAGCAGCCGCATCAGCTGCATTAGCTGCATTTGTCCCCAGCCCTCCCTGGCAGCTCCTGCACTGCTGAAGCCCAGGAGCTTCCCCTTGGATCTCACGGAATGCGCCTGGGCCGCCAGCTCCACAGCAACACGAAGGGTGCTGCAGCATGCGGCAAAGCGCCGGGGTTACTGCAGCTCAGGATGCCGTGCTGGGGAGCAGCACAAGGGGAACAGCGAGGGTGCAAAGGGCCCACAGCTGCACTCGGGGCAGAGCCGCGGGCGGGAGCGAAGCTGCGTTCTGGAGAAGCTGTGGCTGTGACGTGCTGCAAAGGGGAGCGTCGAGGGAGACCCAGAGCCTGCACGACAGGGCAGGCCCCGAGGAGCTCCGCGCTGCCCGAGCTGCACAAGGCACCTTGTCCCTTTCACTCTTAGCTGGATTTTAAACGGTGTAACTGCTCCCTCAGAAGAGCAGAAAAGGAATTGCTCCCTGCAGACGCATGAAGTGTTTATTAGGCAGGGTTGGTGTTTCTTTTCTAAGCCTCGTGAAGACCCTCGGGGCACTTCAGCGAACAGAGGAAAAAGAGAAAAGCACGGCGGAGACATTTCTGTTCTTCAGACCGGCCGGATTTCCGTGCGCCACGCGGGGCGCTGGGGCTGTCCCGCCTGCCGCGCCCCGAGCGGCGGGAGGGCCCGGCCGCGGCCGCTCTGTCCTTGGCACCAGCGCCACGGAGGGTCGGGCAGATCACGGCACCCGGGCATCCCGCGAAGTAAGCGGGGCACCCGGGGGCGACCTGTACCCGCGCAAAAATTCCTCTCACATTGCGAGTGAGGACCCGGGCGTCACCCCGGGTCGTTATTTTCCTTACTCATAAGTTTAAGGCATGACCAAAAGTTCGCCGCGCCGCAGAGACACTGCTCCGCACTAACTCCAGAGGTCAGGGCGAGGGCCGGCCGACGCGGTCTCTAGCTGGGTTACGGTGTCCCCAACACTGCGCTCGGCCCTTGTCCCCTTTCGCGCCGCGGAACCGCTGCCACGGGCCGAACCGAGCCGCGACGTGCCGCGACGTATGCAAATGAGACTCCCGGCGGCCGCGGGGAGTTGTGGGGCGCCCCGGCGCAGCGGGCGGGGCCCAGGCGGGGCCCGCAGTACTTCTGGGGGCGGGGCGAGGAGCGGAAGTCGTACGGTGTCACCTCCGGGACTCGCTCGCTGCGTCTCATCGTTGGGGCCGCGACAAGATGGCGGACCTGTCTCTGGACGAGCTCATACGGAAACGCGGTGTGACGGTGAAGGGGAGGTGAGCGCTTGGGACGGCGACGCAGCGCCTCGGGCCGGCGGCCCCCGGCCGCTCCTCGAGTGTCCCTGCGGCTGGCTCCGCTCCGGGGACTGCGGGCCGCAGCTGTCTCGGCGCGGCCCGGCCCTGCTCCCGCCCTCGCGTTCCCATTGGCTGAGCCGCGGGCCTGCGGGACCGCGCTGCCATGCGATTGGCGGCGGCGGCCGTCACTCAGGGCCGGGGCGGGGGTCGGGCCCCATCTCGGCCCCTGTGGCCGGCGCTGCCCCGGTGGGGCAGAGCGCTCGCCGGCCCATCCCCTCTCGGCCTTTTCGGCATTCCTGGCGCCGTCCCTTGTCTCACTGAAGCCTCCGATTTGCCCTGTCCCCGCCGCCTCCTGCTTGTCCCCGCCGATTAACCCAGCACTGCTCCCTGTAACGGGGCGGGCGGCCCTGAGCCCCGTCGGTGCCCGGGCCGCAGGTGTTCCCCAGGCAGTGCCCTGCGCCGCCCGGTGCCCCCGCGCTCCCGGGCGCGGCTCGGTGCATTGTGGGAGGGCCGTGGGAGGCTGCTGGTGCTCGGGGAGCCGTAACCGACCGGGGCCGCCGGGCGCCCGCGCGGGGCAGGCTGCCGGGGCTCCGGCCGCAGCGCTGCCCGCCTCTCGGAAGGTGTTCTCCCTCTAGCGCAGCTAGTGGTGCTCCGAGCGATTGTTTGGAGTGGCGAGGGGACGTGGAGCATGTTGCAGATCGGAGCTGCAAGG